AGGGGTCACGTTTTTGTACGTGAATATATATTTCAAATAAAATAAATCATAAACCATAACCAAATCATTAGTATACAGTTCGACAGCGACTGATGGGATGACAAAAATATATAATATTCGTAACAACATAATTATATATATATATATCAATATCAGTATTTTCGAAAAGATGGCAATTAGAATGATACAATTTTATATGATGTTTTGGGTAAAACCCTTCGTGGTAATTCTTATAATTTATTATTATACAGCCCCAACGTACACAACTAGGGGTCACGTTTTTGTACGTGAATATGAATGTACGTGTTCACGTATACCGTGATCACGTGAATGAATCAAAATAAATCACGTATGGTTAATACACGGCAATCAACGAAAGCTTAATCACGTGAGCACGTATCTGAATCATATTCACGTGAACTGACATTAATCAAAAATTTGATTGTATAAAAAATAATTATATATAAAATATAAAGAGTTTGTTAATTTTGTTAATGATACCTACATGGTGGTCATATATTGCATTACAAAAACCGATTTTAGGTACTATTTATTTTGTTTATTTTATTTGAAAATGTATTTATAAGTTTATTGATTAGCTTCATGATATTTTATTGAACTCTGTAGTGTCCGTCGCATTTGACTTATCTAGTTGTTGGATAAGTAGTTGTGTGCCGGGAAATCTTTATGTGCTCGTAGTAATTCACCGTGAATTATTCACGGCGTCCGGTTGTGAAAATAGAACTCACACACTGATACCATCATTTTGATTGAACGTTACAAGTTACAATTGTACAATATAAAATTATAAACAATTATCATAAATACGAATAAAAATTCCTATATGTATGTAATGAAATCCCTTTTCATGACTTTATTGATTTTTATACCAAAATCGAAAATTGTTGCGCTAAATATATTTTTGAGTGTAGATGGGCATCACGTAGATGCAAGACCACTATTATATTATAAAAAAATAATTAAAAATTATAAATAAGATGTCTTTTTCGTTCATTATTTTGTTTATCTATTTATTATAATTTCTTAGATTAATATTTATTTATACATAATTTTTTATTACATAATCTATTTATTATAATATTTTAGATTATTATTTATTTGTACATTATTTGTTATAATATTATCTATTTGCTTAAATTTGTTTCATGAAGTTTTATGTATATTAATTAATATTAAATTATTTACGTCATAATTTAAAACATAAGTTATTAATATTATTTACTATACGTAGGTACCTAGACAGTTGTACTTAATATCAGGCCTAGTTTATCCATAGTCATTATATACGAGGACCGATGGCGACAAACATGATTATGTAAATTCACGTATTCACGTGATTATATAAATTCACGGATTCATGTGAATAAAATTATAAATACACGTGAAATTTTAAGCAACGGGTTTTATAAATTAAACATTTCACGTGAGCACGTGAAAACGTATACACGTGAAATAGGGAGCTCTAATATACACCTATTAAAAAAAAAATATTTGAATGCAAACAATTTTCTGGGTTAAAAAAATAATGTAAAACCAGATGGGTTGAAAGACATGAGGCTCTTTCAATATTTGTTGATGGTTTTTTAGAAATTGTTTCTGCGCTAGAAGATTTAAGAAAACGACCAAAAAGCTATTATTTTACATAAGTTATTATGCAATTTTCAATTTTTGATGACATGCTCTATAATGGAGAGAGTACTTGGTATAACATACACAATTTCCAAATATCTACAAATGGAAAAAATAGATATTGTAACTGCTACAACTTCAATAGAAACGACTACTACAAAGTTAAAAAATGTAAGAACTGAAATAGAGTTTCAAGGAATCTATGACACTGTTATAAAAATGGCTGAACAGGTTGGTGTATCTCCTATTATCCCAAGAACAGTGGGAACTCAAAAACATCGGGCAAATTATGCTGTTAATAATAGTGATTATTGCTCATATTATAGGGTATCAATTTTTTATCCGTATATAGATGATTTGCTCTCATCTTTTAATGAAAGATTCAAGTCAAATTCAAATTTAATTACTTCACTTTCTTGTCTGTTACCCTCTAAAATAATAAATAGCACATTTCAAGATGTTAAACCAGCTATGGAGTTTTATAAAGATGATTTAAATATAGATTCCTATAATTTAATCCTAAAATAAGAGTTTGAATTATGGCAAATTAAGTGGAAAACAGAAATCATTATGCCAACTAATTCTCTCGATACATTATTAAATTGCCCAGAAGATATTTTTCCAAATATATATACATTGTTAAAAATGTTTTCAATATTGTCAGTTACAACAGCTTCGGCTGAAAGAAATTTTTCTACTCTAAAACGTATCAAAACCTACCTAAGAAATGCAAATAGTGAAGATAGACTGAATGGTCTAGCACTAATAAATATACATCGGGATATAGATTTAGATATAGAGTCAATATTAGATGTTTTTGCCAACAGAAAAGAAAGACGCTTGAATTTTAAACTGTAAGTACTTCTAATATAATTTTATAAAATTTATTTTTAAACTGCCTACTACAAGTTGTTATTTATTTTTTTTTTTTACTAGTTCGTTATTCAGTTTTATAATCAAATAATATTCTGTTATTTTTAATATTAAAATTTTTTATTTTCTTCTTTATATAATCTCCTTTGTTTTTAGCTATCCCACTTGTGTAAGCTATGGCTTGTAATACTATTTGAATGAAAAATGAATTGTTATGTAAACAAATTAATATAATATTATTAATCCAAGGTTTATAATCATGTTAAATGTACCATAAATTGTTAACAATGCTAACATAGTTGTACAGTGATAGAAAAAAGTACGTGTATGTTAATTGTTTTTATATCAAGTGCTTAATAGGTAATAAGTAGATATTTAAGTATTACAAAAACTAAAGGTAAAAAGAAGTGCCCCCCCACAAAAAAAAAAAAATATCTGGCTACGGCACTTTTAGAAATAATGTTTTGGTGAGGTGTGAAAATATTCGAGAGATGTTCTCCAAAAAGATTGGCTTTGTCTAGATCTGAAAGTGCAAGCGAACCATCTGATTTTTTAATGGGACTAGAGAATTTTTTTAATTTAAGCAAGTTTTTTCGTGGTTTTCCATAAAGAACCATCCTGTATATTTAAAAGTTTAAAGTTTGTGTTAAAAAGATCTTTTTTTGTATTTTTGGATTAATTTTTTAATGGAATTAGACTGATTATTGAGGGTTGACTTGGAAGGTAATCTTGATCTTAGCCAACGGGAGCGTGTCCTGTGTTTTTCAGCAATTAAAGCTTTTATATCAGGAGGTAAAAGATAATCGTTGTGTTTGGTGTGACAATTCGGATTAGGAGGATAAGAACACTCATAGACTGCTGATTGGATTGAGCTGACTAAATGTTGAGTTGCGAATTCTATTTCGTTGCAAGACTTGAGAGAAATTTTTAAGTTTGTACTACTTACTAACGACGTGGAAAAATGATTCCAGTTGACTGAACCTTTACCTTTGGTAATGGAGGGACGAGGATAAATAAGAATTGGAGGTTTCCGTGTCCGATTTTTCTACTATGTTTTCAATTCGATTGTATATTATCTTAACTATTTTAGTAGCGTGTGCTATTAAACTCATTGTTTTGATGTTTCGTAACTTAAAATCAATTAATTTTAATTTAAGTGGTGTTTTATTAATAAAATTATATTATATACTTATAATTATAAATCTTTATAATTTATATACATTCTGTATTTATTAAAAATTAACAATGAATCTATTATTATTATTTTCGAAATATAATATCTACTTAATTACCTACATATTATATTTTAAATGAAAATGTGTATTTTTGATTAACTTATCTATACACTATTATAATGTAAAAAATATGTTTTTAATTTTGTGTGATGTTTTTTTTAATAGGTACACGGTTGTTTTTTGATATTATTTTTTAATTTTACTTTACTATAGTGAACATTCCTTCTATTAGTTTGTAATTAATAAACGTTGAATATTATAGTATAATATAAAGGCAAAAAAATTAACAAACTAATAAATACAATTTAATTTTAATTATTTACTTTAAATGAATAGTACATAGGTACTACTAAAAAAAAATAATAATATAAATGAACACTTCAATTTATAATTGAAATTATTTTGAATTGTAGTTTGGTCAACTGTTTTTAATAGTAAATACTTATTTATTTTTAGTAACTTTCACTAACCTTACAGTGGAGGTAATTAAGAGTTCTAGTTTACTTAACTATAAATATTATTCATGTAAATTAAATAAAAAAAATATTCAATATCACAAAAGTATAGTGAAACTAACAACATTTTTCAGTTTGAAAAATTATAAAAACTTGACTATAATATTTTAGTAAATCTAACTGACCTTACCTATCTTTATATCAATTATAAAATACGTCAATCCTAATATTTTTAAAGTGCAAATAACTGTTTTGTTTTTTCCGTGTTGTATCAGAGGCAATATTTAGGTATTTTTTTAATTGATTATACTTATACCAAAGGCACCGTCACTAATTATTATATTTCGAATATAGATTATAGAATTTTTTCACACGACATTGTGGTTGGCTTTTGTTGTAAATTATACGACGTTATGCACTAATCTCAATAGGATACATGCCAGAATATCTATGTATATCAGCATAGCAACTTTAAATATTAAATTTTGATTAAATTACATTTTGAAGAGTTAACAGTATCTAAAAACATGATTTGAAAATTAGAAAAAAAATCGTGTTGTACAATAATTTTGGTATTATTAGTATAATGTTAAGTATACAAATTCACGCCTAAAATCTTTTTTTTTACGTTAAATGTCATTGTTTTTTGAGTTATTAGAGTACTACACTAATACGTAATTTAATTTAATTAGTTTTATACATTGAATTTTATTAGTAGTATCTGTTAAAACGAATGGGTTTTTTGAAAAAAAACCAGAGTATGTACCAAGCTAACGAATATACTTACTCATGACGACTACGTATTCGGTGAGGTCGATGGTCAACTCTTGCATAGACACCGGTAGCGTCTTGACGATTTCGGACACCAAATCCCTGAATTCTTGGTTGTATTTCATCAAGTACATCTGCAATGGTACCGCACTGATCAACAATGTTAATCCGATTATGTGTCTGAGTTGCATCGTACGTCGCGAAGTCCGCAGTCGTCTTGCTTCTCTTCCTGTGTATAGTTATATATACTGTGCTCGGAAATACGATTTTCGTCCGATAGATTACATATATATATATATATATATATATTATAATGTGTCGTTGATACCACAAACCGATATAATGTGTTAGATATATTATAAAATGTATTTGAATATTGTATCGAAACACGTGTACAGAAATGATTATACACTAAAAAAGACGACTCTTGTGCATATATATCTAGTTATTATATTATGCACTATATAATTATAATATAAAAATTGGTAATACTTTTTTTTTTTTAAAAAAAAATCGCGCCACGTCAGTTTCGTATTATACTCGTATAAACACAGGTGTACATGTATTATTATTATTAAACACGCATACGTGGTGTCTCTCAATTGATTTATTTCTATTTCCCACAGAAATGACATAGGTAACAATTAACAATATTTATTAATACAGGCGATTTTATTATGTACATCATATAGCATCATAATAATGTATAGTAGGTTAATTATTATTAATTATTATAAACTTAATTTTGCAACCATTAAACTGTTACCGTGACTAGTGTGTGTAAATAGTCGATAGTAATTGGATAATATTCACAGGATATAGTGTGTTTGCAGGTTGAATGCTGTTAGTGGTATCTAGCGTCATTCCATAAGGACGCTTTTCATGTTCTGAAGGATTTCCAGCTGCTGCATCAGTCCTGGACAACATGCAAAACCAAAACGTTAATACAATTTTACAAAACTAAGCATTTTAATATTATACTATATGAAATTAATAATTAAATATATAATAAAAAATATAAATATATATTAAATATATATATTATAATATATATATATTAAATATATATTATAATTAATAATTGATTATATAGCATTGAAATTATCTAGACTTGAAGACATTTTACGAGTGATTTAAATTTATATAGATAGATAGAATTGAGGTTTTTGAACCAATTTTTTTTACTTGTTTATTTCATACTTTGATATTTAATCCTATTTCGATGTATCGAATATAAACGTAAATTAAACAAAGATAGGTACTTACCAAAGAAACTTTAAATGTTTATGCTTAGATAATTTAGTATCATTTAAACAAGTTGTAGTTTTCAATAAATTATCATTATGTTTGAACTAAATATGAAGGTTTGAATAAATATGAGTATAAAATTTTAACTTCATAATAATATATGAAATAACATAATAATATGCTTTGAATATTTAACCCAAAAATCTATATAGTGCTAGAAGAATGTCAGTAGGACTAAATAGTTAAAAATATTTTACTTTTATTAAAATAGCGGGTAGCGTAACTGAATAATTGGTCTTTAGGACTAAAGTTTCTCAAAATACCTGGTTTCCAGACTATAATAAATTGATAAGCTATGTTCCAAATTAATAATTTTTAAAACAAACGGAAAAAATACCAAAAGTACTATCGTAATTCGTAAAAAATTCTTATTTATGATGATTTCCCATGACACATTTTAATACTAAAAATATTAACCTTTAAACCTTCGCAAAAATAATTGATATGTTTGGTATATGTAAACTTTTTTGGTATTTATAATTGATGAAAATTGCTATGGTACAACACAATATACCATGCAAATAAAAGCTTCTTCAAGGCCAGCAAATAATGTACTATCTATTCAGCGAATCAAAACAGAGAGCGGCGCCGTGTATCAATAAACAAGAAAATTGGAAACACAAAAAAGCAACTTAGCAGTCACTCTTTTGTGATAAGACTTCGAAAGAATACGGTGAGAAAGATAAAATCAAGATGTTTTTAACAAGACTAACCATAGCTCCATGCAGGAAATTACAGCGAAGTTGTACACAGATACGCCGAGAAACAAAAGCACACAGGAAACCGCCGTCAGCAAGTTCAATAGTCGTTCACTAGTCGGTTCGGAAAACAATATAAGACAACGTGCATCTCGAACGAATATTATCCCCAGGCATCATCACAACAACCTCCATCTTACAACACCAACAACCTACCTAGTCAATTGACCTAATCAATTAATCATTCTCGTTCAATTCTTTCATTCAATCGGCCAAACACGATGAAGCCCAAATAACGTAATCATATAAAGTGTCCGAAACCTCGATGAACAGAATAATTAATGATCCCTATCGTTCTAAATAAAAATTATTTAGTATAATAATTTGATTGATACACCTACATGAATTTAAAATTATTAAGTATTTACCCCATTGGACCTACCAATAAAGTTAAACTAATAAACACGATGGAAGTTATGTTATACCTTCTTCTTTCAAAGAGACCAAATTTTTTGCCACGTAGAATCCTTGTTTGAAGTGTTTCTCTTTATCCATAGCAGACTCGATATGGGCTCTCTTTATATTATCCTCCAGCTGACTTGTTTTTGCTCGCTCTGTGTCCAATTCATTCAACAGTTTTTCCTACAAATTTCAAACACATATGTTTTATGTTTAGTTATTTTAATATTAATTATTAATAAATATAAATAATTATTTGGACAAGGAAAAATAATTAAATATAAATATTTTTCAATCATTTAAATTTCTGTTTAATATCAAATTTTCCCTAATGTAAAGTAAGATTTTACATGGATATGTGAATTATCTCTGAATTAGATTCACTTAACTACATAAAGGTTCCTAGAACAACATTAAATTATTTAAATCCGTTAATATTCAGTTTAAAAATATTTACCATTTACCAAAAGAAATGATTTAGAGGTCACTCTTGCATTATTCTTTATTCGTAAAACAGAACAGTTACGTGAAGTATTCATTATCTACATCGTTGATAGATTGGCAAATTGAACGCCTAGTTTATTATTAATTATAAATCTTTACATTTTCTCATAGTATATATTAATATGGATTGTAAATATATAAAAATAAAAAAAGTATCTGTATAGTAAAATAATAAATAAAAATATATTAAATATTTAATAAAGGTATCAGTAAAAAATTAACAATTTCTATAATGGAAAATCTTAAAAAATTAAAGGCTTTAATTTATATTCGATTTATTACGATTGAAATACGAAATTTTACAATTTTTATTTAAGAAAAAAAAAAAAATTGAAAGTATTTTGCACATTTTTGTCTTAGTTAAGTGCGAATATTTATAGTATATATAATAATATAAAAATAATTTCTTAGAATAAATACAAACTGAAACGCAGAAAAGGTTGGATACTCAGAATATACAGAAAAAATTGTATCTATGTAATACTATGACTGCTATATCAATATGTAGCAAAACATTACTAAAAAAAAAAGTGAGTTATAGAGTTTTTGTTTAACAAATGAAATTATAGACTTCATTCTATATATGTATTAAAAAATTCAAATGCATTTTTACAGTACTCATATTGATAATACTACGGTTGGATCAACCAGAATAGGTACCAGATGAGAGCAGACGAGAGGGCTAATGTAAAAGAACCACAATATTATTAATTTCTAGAAAACTTTAGGTATTCCTGATTATAACTAGCATTAGTATATGACTGTTTTCTTTTTAATTTATTATTTTTAAAATTTTAAAAATATATAAAATATCACGTTTGTGCTATTACAATTACAACTTTTTTATATTTATGCTCTTATTGATGATAATAGTGATAATAATTCAGAAAACACTGATAATAATAGAATAGTAATGTAGTAAGTATATGTATTTATATTAAAGTATTACTGTTATTACTGCTATCAATTTTGTTATAGTTTTGTAAGTATGTTGAATATAAACTATAATTTACTTAGTATATGGTATATGGAACCTTACTTGGGCTTCGGCGAGCTTAGCATTTTCCGCCATGATCGTCAACTCCCGCTGCTGGGCTGCCACTAGTTGCCCCGCAAATTCTTGCCTGGTGGCTATAGCAGCCCGAAGTCTCTCCTCCTTATCGACCAATTCGTTCTCCAATGCGGTTAGTTCTGATTTGAACTTCCGTTGGTCCTGTTAATCGTTAAAAATGTATTTCTTAGACGTTTGCTTGTACATATAATTCAGTATTATGTCGATCAAGACAGTGATGTTACAGAGGTATTTTATTGGGAGGGGGAGGAACTTCATACATGTAATCACATACATATATATTTTTCTATTGTGATAAATAATAAAAAATTGAAAAAAGGCCATGGGAAGGTGACTGCTTTATTTTTATCTTGAGGACCCCCTAGATGAAGTTGAGTTTTAATGTCACTCAGTTTAACATTATAATATCTTAACGATAAAATACATTTAAATGTAACTCAAGTTTACTTCAAGTATTCATTTTTAATCATAAAATTATACTTACATATTTTTTTATAATTAAATAATTAACATTCATTTTTATATTTTAAAAAAAAGAATTCATTTTCAAACATTTCGAAATTATTCTTTTATAAATTATTCTGATTTTATAACATAGTTTTTAGATGAATGCCATTTCAAAAAATTAAAATTCAATGTACAAAATCTAAATATATAATGTAAAAAATAATATAATATAAATATATGTATATATTTATTTTATACTATGTACCATGCTCAATAATTTGCAAAGTCGTGGACATTTTTAATGTATAAAAATTGTGAGTGAATGTGATTTTAAACACTACGAGATTGAATATGCATAGAATATGCGATAGATGCCATAGATAAAATATTTTGTTTTTAACAGTTTATTTTTTTCGTGACGTGTAACAAAAATTCGTGAAAACGTTGTCAAACATAGGTGTATCTATATTAATATTTCAAATAAACACACCTCGAGCTTGGTATTTTCTTGTTCTTCACGGAAATGCGATTCGAGTTCTTCGAAAAGTTTTTGCATCTATAAATCACAGTGTAATGATTATTCAATGTCGTTTTTTAACGCGATATTACTATAGTACCTACGTTATTTTGATGTTGGACCTCCCGACTTTGTAGCATATCTTCTAGTTCTTTGTCGTGATCCATGATTTTAGTCAAATCCATAATTAGTGCTTTGAGAAGCGCTTCGATGCGGCTCATAGTTACTGCATTGTTTCGTTCCAGTTGAGAAGCCTTACATATGTTTTCTAAATGTCCTACGCTCCTGTATTAAGGATATAATTTATTCAGTCGATGAATAAACACAATACACGTACTCGTATGCGTGTATAGAGTGTCTAGAAACCTTTTTTTTAAGGGGGAATGCATGATATTATAATATGTAACTGTTAAAGATTAATTTAATTTAATTCAATGTATTCAGTTTTAACGACTATTGTTATGCTTGATTATTATAAGTATTTTTTTGCCTTTATTCTTGAATATTACAGCAATGCGATTAGATTAAAATACGTAAAGAAATCTAGCAGCTTAACTATTATAAAACAATTATAAATTTAAATAAGGAAGTCAGAGATATTGATGAAATTGATAATGGAATGAATGATAGAAATGGAGCGAAAGTTGAGGAGAAGATTAGAATCGGTATTAATATAACCAAAGAAAGATAAGAATGAAAAAATAATTGTCTGCTAGGAAAAAGAGAAGGATAGTTAAAAATTATATGGTTGAAATCGTAACTTGAATTCTTGTGAGATTCAGTACAGAGTGGGCAAGAATTAAGAGACAGCTTGAAAGAGTGGTGGGGAAGATTGTGGCCAATATAGATTGTTGTAAGTTACCAAATATTATTATCAAATGTAATCTCTAGTACCCACTGCAATTTACAGTTATTATTAGTAGACTTTCCAGACAAACTTTATATATAAATATAAATTAACGTATAGTGCATAGTGTATGTTTATGTATTTTATGGGTTTGTGAAATGTTCTATACTTTCGAAGCGTATTCTAATAGCGTGCTAAAATACGAATGTTTGGAAAGTTTTCATACGGAAATTAGTCTAAATCTAATTTTACTTACATCTTAATTATGTTCATATCTTTAATGGTTTGCAATAATGTTTGGATATCTTCTGTATAGGAACATTTGAACAAAACAGGACCATGCTGTTCTACCCAGCAACTATTTTGGAGAGTCATTGGTGCAGTGTCTTCTGTACAAGTCAATGGTTTGATAAACTTGGTAATTTATACTAGCTATAGTATGCAAAGTGGTATATAATAAAATTGCTTTGTCAAAACAATGTTAGGATTATAGATACTTTAGTTATTAATTGTATTATTACAACTTTGTATTTAGTTAGTTGTATACACAATATATTCCATTTACGATTAAAATTAAATTAGAATAATTATTGCTTATAAAGATTAATATTATACACCAATCTCTGTAAATATTATACATTAAGTACACATTTTTTTTTTTACATATAAATATAAACTTAATGAATAGTAACTACGATTTGACGAATAAAATGTAAAAATACTAATTTTAATTTTAAATGGAATAAAAGTTTGTTTCGATATTTATTTTTAGAATTGTTTATTATCCGAAATTCATTATTGAACTGAATGTTCAACAGTAATGATTAATGATCATCAATTTTAAAAAAGATACAACACTATATGAAGCTTGTCAATATTAAAACGAACGCTCATTTTACAAGTTTTAAACAATGTTTTACGATTTAATTAAAAACATATTTTAATATGCAAACACATCAATTATATTAGGAAATTTAGTAATCTATTAAATACATTTTTAAAATTTTAAAACTAGATACCATATAAATAAGTTTTTATCATTTTATTATAATTTATAGCAAATATGTGATTTGTCTACAAAATCTTAAAAATATATTATATCTAATAAAATTCTTAATAGATTTAATAAACTTAATAAATTTCTAATAGTAACATTTATTATTTTACCAAATGTTGTTAATTATAATGGAAGAAATAATGATTATGAATTATGAAATTATTAAATCTTTTTTATAATATATTTTGATTTTATTCTTGTGTTGGCATTATTAAATTGGTTAATTGGTAATATCTTTGAAATATTTATTATAAACGTCTTAATTCATTGATGATTAAGAATAAAAATTATATAGGCAATTGAAGTATTGTTGTATGAAATATGAAATATACGAGTACAATGAATATTAATATTATTTAGCGTAAAGATTAAAAAATTTTGTTATGAAAAAAATTGCATAACATTATACATTATAGATGATAAAAAAGTAAGCAAGAAAGTAAAATAATATATTATGTTTTTTCAAAAGTTATTTTTAAATATTTTTCTGTGAGTATTTATTATTTAAAACGTGGAGAGCCAATGTAAATTTTATTTTATTTTACTTATCCATTTTTTTAAAAGAACTTAATTACTTTTTTTAAATAGTTAATATTTAGTGTTCGTTTATGTATTATAGTTTAATCAAAATATTTACTCACTGAATTTTTCCAAAAATTGGTCTAATGTAAGGTAACCCTTTTGTTCAACATCCAGCGTATCGAATACGATTTCTAACTGTTCTGGAGTCATTGATAGCTCATCTTTTAATTTCTAAATTAATAAATTTTGTTTGAATGAAGTAATATAATATAATAACATGTACATACTCTTATACAAATTACTCACATTTACATTTTTAGATAAAAAAAAAAAAAAATAAAAAAATAAAGGTTTTAAGTATATAAGCAGAAAGATATTTTAAGATACAATGAATACAAATAATTAATAGTTACACATGCGGTTTCAATTTGCTTATATTACTTATAATTCTAAATATATAAATGTAGTCAATTATAGTTATTAGAGTTCATAATCAATGGGAAAAACATTAACATAATACCTGTATAAAAAATTATGAACATGATGAATATGTAGGTACCTACTTAATGTTAAGTCTACTTATATAACTTATATTGTATTTAAATTTATAATGTTAGTTGGCATTTTTTCTATTTAGTATTTTACAAAAATTAATTAAAAAGCCTTAAAATTTTTTTTTATATTTATTATCTATCTCTACATTATTATGGTTATTGTCTTAGGAATCTACATATTTATTATGAACTACGTCATTGGCATCGTATATTATATAATATTTGTAGCCTATAATATACATAACTCTTTGTGTCCACCGTAATACCATGTATTTAGACGATGGATACGTACTGTTAAACAAATTACGGTAATTATCTTGGCTTGTCTACAGTTAAAAAATAGTTGGTTGCATTATAAATATATGTACAAATAAACGTTGAAAGATATACCTATAAAATATGAAGGAATAGAATATGTGTTTAAAAAAGTTATTTATATCAGTGGTGCGCAACCTCTTTGACTCATGACCCACAAATGTATTTATTTCGATGAGACAACCCTATATGTATAATAATATCCGTATTAATAAAATTTTCATTTGGTGTTAAATTATTGACAACTCCCTATTAAAATGTCATGACCTCCTCAGGGTCAGGATTTAAAGTTGAGCACAACTTCAGGGAATTATTGTTCAATCTCCATTTATAATTATCGTAGTAAAATATTTTTATTTTCTTTCTTTCTATATATTTTTAAATTTTTATTATTGGTCCCCATTGTAGGTTAAGGTCTTGAGTATAGACGTGCACACCGGGGGGAGGGGTGCTGGATGGCACTCCCTCCCCAGGCACTCTCTCCCCATACATTTTGTAAATAGTTTCCTACAATTTAAGTCTAAGAGTAACCGTAGTGGTCAAACGGGCGGTGATGAGGGGGATAGATCCCCCTCATGACCTTTTTTTAAATATTTATAATTCATCCATATTATACATAATATAATATAGATATTCATCTATTTTCTATTTAAAAAAATAAATATACTGTACTTATTAGTTATTATACAGTCTCAAGGCAAGAATAAAATTAACAGTTCGAACACACGTAAAACACTAAAATATTAATTGAAACATATTTTTTAGATTTTTTTCATTTCCTTTATAGTTGAATTATAAGAATGTATTAAATTTAAATTTAGTACTTAATGCTTAATATAATATATTATATTATTATATGAATTGTGTAATTATATTATTTTAGAGTCGTCTCAATGGCTTAACCACTATGGTTGTTCATCGTGAGGTTGTCAGTATAGCTGTAGATGAAGTACTGGACGAATTGGCAAAAAAAAAACAGAAAAATAGATTTAATAATATAAATATCATTAATATAATATAATTTCCATATTTAAAAATAAAGATTTTTATATATAGTGTTTGTTAAAAAATCAACTACATCCTCCCCCATGACAAAATCATTTGACCGCCACTGAAGAGTAATAGGCCCATATTTTAACTGATGTTGCTTTAATTAAATGTAATTTATTCTAAAATATTTGGTAAAAAATATATGATGTTTCGTAGTAGAAACAATAAAATAAATTTTTACATTTTCGTACAAAAACTTATAATAATATAAAAGCTACCAATGACTACAAAAGTACCAATCATAAATAATTTAAACTTTTTGAGAAAAATATACGAGATTCAAGAAAAATATATTCTTTGGGACTAACTAGTATATAAATATACCTAATTAATATATTAATATACCGCAATATTAAATATAAAATTAAAGTTATGTTTATTTAATTATTTACACATTATAATTTACTAAATATATCAACACTTTTTGTTCAGATAGGGCTCAAAAGTGTCGTATAGACCTCTTGAAATACAGGTCTGAGCTCGCTTATGGCCCTGGTATTTGACACACGCAACATACCCGATTATTGCGGTACAGCTCAGCAATATATTTGAATGATACCCAAATACTTTTAAAATTTTTTTCAAAATATTACGTGGAGATGGGCTACGCAATCTTATATTATTATTTCCTGCTCCTTTTTTGTATAACTCAGTCAATCAATGTTATAACTGAAATGTCAAGTATACAATAAAAAATAGCTTATTTTACTTAAATAATTATTTTCCTAACCAATCTGCAGAGAACGTTTTTAAAACAATTTAAGATTTTGTAAAAATATTAATCATTATTAATAAAGCTCAAAGAAAATGTTATTTTAAAATTTCTTGTACAATTTTTTAGACGCTACATTTTATTTCTTTTTTTTTTAATATTTTTTGCAATTACTTTTTTATTGTCCCTAAAAGTATACATTTTTTATAATTAATGTTTTGTCGATAGTGACGTTATACAAATAGATGAACAACACAATTGTGTTACTAAAAATATATTTCATTGAATGCTCAAGAATTATAGTATTTAGAATTGTATTAGATGTTATGAAAAGTATTTTAAAATCGGCACTAAAATTCTTTTCTGCTCTGGTTATGTTAGTATACATAAGTACGTGACTACGTAGGTTGTATAGGTGTATAACTGTTATTAATTCGTTTTAAAGAGTATTTTGTTCATGAAAAATTTAAAACCATATGGTTATTTTTTTTGAAGAATTTTGTAGGAAATCACGTGTTGCAACACGCCTGTTTAAACAAGTGTTTTCCATTACTGTACAAATGTGCAAACTATGTGCGTGCATATGAAAGTTTTGTAAATTAAAAAATAAAAATATTAAAAAAAATAATCCAGTAACCAGCATTTTTTCTGATTTCAACATTAAAACTACTTTTGAGACCTCAGTTTGAAAGAGTGAAAACGTATCAATATTCGGGTGTGTTTTTAATTTTAAATTAGAAATATATTTTTATTCAAAAATTCAACATAACGACATTTATTAAAAATGAGATTCTTGGGAATAATGGTCAATCTTAAAACCACATTTGTAATATTTGTACTTCCGTTTATATTATGAGACAACTGACAGCGATCGATGACAGGTTTAGTCTACCATAAATTAATAAAAAAAAAATATAAAAAAAATTAGAAATTTGAATATTGATGACTTAGGATTAGACGTAGTTGGAAATAATACTGATAAGAATACTATCTAGAACAAAAAATATATTGTCGACCCGTTGAACAGTTGAAGATCATCAGAATGATACGAATAATTGATAAATATATTATATCTCACAAAAGAATATTAATTAAAATAAATAAACCTAAAAGTCTTTGTACTTAGTTGTATTTTTCCTTTTTCTGGCTTAGAATATTGTCTTAATTATATTATAAATAAATTTGATTTGCTTTACAAGAGAAATATGAGGTCATTGGTGTGCAAATATAGAAATTCAAATTATATTAGAATTTATGGATACTTGTGGATGTGGAAACCTACATTAGATAATATTTAAGTAAATCAAAGTCTTTTAACGGAACAGGAAGATTTTACGAGTGTAATCAAAAAGTACAAATGTTAAATAAATTTTAAAATTTAACTATTTTTTGAATATCGTGTCATGTTATTTTTTGTGTAAATACTTTGAGTTTTTATTAAACAATTTTTGATGTTTTTACCTATATTTTAGTTAAGTAAAACGTAGCATGCGTGTAATTTCGAAATTTATGTTAAGACTAAAATAAAGACTAAAGATTAAATTAAAGACTACATCAGTTTGAACATCTCCTTTACAGTTGACTATTTACGTCTAAATTAACTTTAACGTTTTTTTGGATATGATCCTAAAAGTACTAAAAGGTAAATTTTTAAAACTTAAAACTTTCGCGGGTTAGCGACATAGATATTATTATAATTTTATAACTATGATTTATTTTTGTTTCATATAGTTAAATTATGCTTATACATATACTCATTATTAATTCGTTAAAGACAATAATTCCCTAACTAATTTATACAAATTATATATACATAACTAGAAAAGGCAGAAATATCGAGAGTACATGATAATATATAAGAATGGCAATCTTTCTAGTTTGTAGTTTTTGCTTTTGTAGAAAAAACCTTTTTTATTTATAAAAATAATTGAATATTGATCTAAGAGAAAATATAATTTTTCTCATACTTGTTCAGACTTTATTTTTATTTTATATTGATAAAATTTTTATAATTTTATTATTGTAAAGATATTCTGCAAGTGATGTATCGAAACGAGGAAGAAAACTGTATGAACGTTTACCATTTAAATGGTTCCTTGATTTATTTTTTAATTATTTATGTGTAGTTTGGTGGTTATTACATGTGATCTAAATTTGTGTAAGCTTTATTATATTCAAATATAATGTACTCATAGAAATATATAGTGTTTAGTTTCACGTTACCTGGCCGTCGGAAATAAATGTGATGCCTGCTTCGGGCTCTGTGACATAGGTTTGGTAGACTTGTGTTTGTGTATTGAATTTAAGACACATAACTTCGTCAATGTATCACAGCAACAATAGTAGTAGTTAGTCAAGGTGCTGTATAGTTGACAAATATAGCCACTAGATGCCTGACTTATCTCGCGCGTTATCTTAGCACTTGAAGAAGCGCTTCTGCCTTCTGTTATTACGCGTGAGGCCAAAAACGGCGAAAACAGTTGAGTGTGCGATTCGGAGCCGGGGCGGACGCGACGGTAATGATTTATACAAATAAAAAATATTACAAATGGAACATGAACACGGAGCGCGTGAAAATCACGTAAAGAAAAACTTTGGAACGAAATGCATGTATTTTTTAATAGTCGTATCGTAAATCTCATACAATGAAACAACCAATGAAGTAAATTACGTTTATAATCTAATAAACGAATATACACTGATGAGTCGCAGTCATCGAGGGGATAAGGTGGTTGGTTGCGGTGTATTTAGTAGCCGTCATCAGCGGTCGGGTAAATACACGCGAAAGCGATTTCCCTGTATAGCTCTTGGAATACGATGTAATGTCATCGCCGGTGTTTCCGACATGTTTCACGCACGGACTCCGAGTATACCGAGTGCAGTGCAACAGTAATAAAAACCGCTAGGTAAAACGCGTTATTCAGTTCAGCTTGTAAGAAAACGATCTCACTAGGGCTGATGTGGTATTTTTCGGCAGCCTGTGTCCGCGAGTACAGTAAATGTAATTGCACAGGTAAAGGTATTCGATGCGGTCACAGACGCGTGCGTAAGGCACGCGGGTAGACAAATCGGAGAAGTGCGCTTACTTGCATGTCCCGCCTGACGATGAAACCCTTGCCCTCGGGGTCGCCGAGCTGGAAGAGCTTGTGTCCGATGGCCTCCATGGCGGAAAGGGTTTTCGCGATCACGGACGGACTCGTCGCGACCGCGGGCGTCCGTCGATATTGTCATGCATAGGAGGTATCCGCCGACTGACGCGTGAACGCTGGCGCAGCAGTACCACTGGTATACGGCGCACGGTGTGCGTACAGCGGTAACCATCGGTTACAATACGGTACGCGTGCGTTGTGTTCGAACGCGGTATAGTCGGGCGGTACGGCGCGTGTTCGGCGGCTACGTTTTACTGCAACACGTCCTCGCGCAAGGCCGTGTCCGCACGCGACCGTCGTCGTCGTCGTCGTCAAAAGAACCCGACGTCGCGCGACATCATCGCCCCCGCTCACACCGCCCGCGGGCGGGTTCCGCGAACGCGAATACTTCCCCCCACCCCCATCGAGAACCGAACGGTTTTCGCGCCCAAGTGTACGTTTCCCATGCTTAGTCAATACGGGGCCCGCGGGACACTGGAAAAATAGGTTTTTTATGGAAAAGCGCACCGTTCCGCCCGTAACGATAACAGTACCGATGTTAGGCCATCGGAAAGCCTAATCAGAAGTTCACACGAATACGATCCGTGTACGGACATTTTTATTTCCACATGAATTCTCACACGGACCGCGTTAAACCGTATACTCTAAAAACTTTCCCGTGTACGGATATATAATAATTATGTCACGTGAAGGATATTCACGTGACTCCTTCGGATTGGTTTCCGTACGTGAAATAGGTTTCGATTTTCTCCGATTTCGTTTCACCCGCGGCCCGAAAGGCCGTAACGTACACACGACTGTACGTCCGACTTTTGATCATCGATTCTTCGCTATTAAATAAATAATAATACAATACAAATATAAATGGCACAATGATAAAATATATGTTATTTATATACGTATTTAAAATGGTTTCCCGTGATATTTTTCCGAGAAAACCAATAATTCGCAATGATGCCGCTCTTCGTCATGTTAACGTCATTCCCATGCGGATAATATAGGGTACGCGGATTCGTATACGAATATGTAGGTTTTGTGAATACTATTTTTTGTTCGTACTCGGAAACGAATCACGTGAATCGTTCGTATACGGATTTTTTTCGCGTGAGTTTCCGATGAGGCCCCCAGATGTCAGGCTTTTCTAATCCTAGCTGATTCTGTTCTGTTAATGTGGAACTCCCTCCCCACGTGGAGTCAGTGTCGGTCTGTCGGTCTGGCCCAACCAGATACCCGGCCAGGGGCTCTGAGATTTATTTTTAAAATAGAGGCCAACTAGGGACGGATCCACATTTAGAGAACTATGGGTCGGGCTATTTCAAGAGGTCGCTTATTAGAGCTGAAAGTGGATTATAAGTCTAGGTTAGGTTATTCCTAACCTAACCTATTTTTCTAACCTTATTTTCTAACTTATTCCTTGTAACAAAAAAACGATATGATCATATGTTATTTGTTTTTTAAGTTTATTTATAATTATCATTGTAAACATTTATCTTATTTTATGAAATCTCACTTAGGGGCCTGGGATAGAGATGTTTTATTTTACTATATAATTAAACCAGTTACGATATTTTTTTTTTTTTTTTAGAGGGGGAATGAAAACTGAGCATTTACCAGTTTATTTTTAACTTCAACTAATAGTCGGCAAACTTAAAAAATATAAGAAGTCTTCAAGAAGCCAATCTTGTCAACAAATATTAATTGTGGGTCAGCTGATCATCTGAACCTATCCTAAATCCGCCCTTGGGTTCAAAGTAACCACGCTAACATGAAAAATTATAGTAATTATTTTCCTAAGTTAAATTAAAATTAAGTTATTTTTATCTTAAAATATTGTTGACGAGATTTAATAGAACTAACCGCTATAGTTTATATATTTTTGTTCTCTTCATCAATGTCGAACAAATATAAATACTTAGAAAAAATTGAGATAAGTGATTTTAACGGTCATATATACGAACAAATTGATAATTCGATAATATTGGCTTTAGAAATATATAAAAACATAAATTAAAATAAAATATATTAAATATAATAAAATAAATTAAAATATGTAGTAGAGTTCGAAAAAAAAACATTTTTAGTATGTATTTATTGAATCTCACTCCAATATTATGTTGTTTAGGGGCTCATTGTAAATTTTTTAACGAATGCCCAATCATGAGCCAGATCGACACTACGTGCAGTGTTAGAAATTAAACGGTTCTTTTGTCCATTTTTTATTTATGTTTTTACCAATTATAAATAAAATCCGAGGAAATTACCAAATTATAATCGTACTCGAAACGTATCTAATGAAATACAACTTTTTTCCTTTAAATCGTTGAAAAATAAAGTTACTTTAAAGTTTGGCAAATTTAACGTATTTAATAATATATAAGGTTTAATAGTATGCACAAGATATATGTGGATTTCAATGTATCATACTTTCAAAACGAGCATTTTCAACCGATTTTCGTATTTTACTGTCATTAAAATACAAAGTTTTTTAAACAATTTCAATCATATAATGTGCCATGTTTTAAAAAGACTAAAAACTTACTGAAATTCTAACTATAAAACACGAGTTGTTATATTATATAATTCATAATATTTCTGTAGTTAATTATATTCATGAGAAATTTAATATTTACGTCAGACAATTAATTACATTAATTTACATTAATTACGAAATATAAATATTTAAACGCTGTGTTTGTACGGGATTACTATTATAGGTGACGAATTGTATTGAAAGAGGAAATAATTTATTTTATAGACATTGGCTTAAATAGTTAAAAATTACTCTGAATTTCATTCGAAATATTTGCCTGAAATTGTTTAGTTAATTGTGTGTGATTATTGTATGGACGCGTCGTTACGTTGATCACAACTGACGATCGAAGTATGTAGCAGTATAATATACACGTATTATGTATAATACGGAGATACCATCGCGGCGGCAGGGAAAGTTTTTTTTTGTAAATGTTTTAGCTGCGGCTCTGGTGGTATAGGTCAGTTGAAAAAAAATCTGCCATGAGCTATTGATAATGCGCGACCGGGTATCGTGGTATCGTGGATAATTAGTTACGATCACCATTAACTAACCTAAATAATAACAATAAGACACGATCAAATAATAGAAAATTATGTGTTATTATCATTATTATTATTATTATTATTATTGTGTTTGTATACTTATAAACATAGTACTTGTACTATCTATAGTGCTATAGCTTATATACACGTAATTGCGTAATACACAAACGCAATAATAATTGGAAACACCGATTTCAAAGGAACATATTCATTCGAGTTTATTTCTTTTGAGGACAATTTAATGAGTAGGGTTATATTATATACAAATATATTATAAACAAATTCAAATTTTAATGTAGAAACAGGAAATAAATTTCACTTATCAGACTTTTAAAGAAATCAGAAATTATTTTAGGTACCTTTTCTTCTAAGTCAACATTTTTTTTTTTTTTGAGTGGTTTCCAAAGTTTCAAGATTCTTTCAACCACGGACATTAACGACAGCCATCTTGTTCTTGAGTGTGAAAAAAAATTCTGATGATTAATATCAACAAATTAATAGAACTCTTTCAATTTTTCCGTCCTAACAGTGTATATTGCAAAATAATTAAATATTTTAAGGACGATAATTTCGACAACAACTGATAATATTCTAGTACCACATGATATAGTAATGTGCAGGATATAGGCTAGACATCAAATACCTTCTATAGGTTTTTCTAGATCTTCTTTTATTTTATGATAACAATTGCATTAACCTCATCGTTGAAGCCCTCCGAAGTTGGTATTGGTGTTTTCCTCACCAAACGCAATTAACTTATCCTATGGAATCTGCAACTGTCTTTAAATGTCGATTGGAAATGGTTTCCGACGTTTAATTTTTTAAAGAATCAAAATTTAATAGCTTTTGTTGAATTCCATCATGTTCAGTGAAATATTGGACTAGTAAAGGAAACATTTTTTCAGTTTTGTGATTGGACGCGTCAGTTTTATTGATAATAATAATATTTACTTGGTTATATTTTTAAAAAAATTTAAATTATTGGAAATAAATATACCTCATCAAATATTATTTTATGTTTTCTTAGAAAATTTGATGTATTAATAGTTAGTGATGTCATTGTTAATCCCTTATTGTATCATTGCATTAGATTACCAAACATTTTAATAATCCAGAGTAATTTCCAAGGTAAATATATAAAATAATGTAATTATAAGTACACTTTTACAAATATATTTAAGTAATTTAAGTATTTTTGTTAACATTTTATAATTCAACCAGATCAGACGTCTATGAGCGTCTATAAACATGTTAACAATGAAACAATAGAAATACTATAGTTTAACTTGAAGGTAGTCAAATAAAAATAAGAAAAACTTATATTGAATGTTAATACTTGATGTACATTTTGTTTTTATTTTACAATTCTGTGGTTTCTGCGATTCATTTACATGTGTGAAGTTGGTCCCCCAAGTTATCATATTAGCACGAAGCGTGTGCCAAAAATTAGCAACTAATTTGCAACTATTTGCAACTCGATATGTTCCTCGTAAAAATTATTTTTTGGCAAAATTCCAGTAATAAAATATTTAGTAAATACTAGAAAAACGTTAAAATGCGAAAATGCTCTAAAAATCAATAAAATTAATTGTACTTGGTACCAGGGGCGGATCTTGGGGGGGGGGGGTTCAGGGTGTCAGCTGATCCACAGGTAATATTTGTTAACAAAATTGGTCTTTTGTTAATTTTTTCTCTTTTTAGACCTTGATTTGGACTCTTGGACAGTTGGCCCATCGGAGTTACTTGAAAAATGAATGCCATGTATATTCAACATTTAAAATTTTTCAATTTATAATTTATATTTTAAATTATATCGTTTTAGTAGAAAGTTAAGTAAATCATATTTTATTCGGTTAGTTTGTTGCGCTGATAAAATTAGATTATATTTATTAATCGTAAATAAGTCACTATCGGTGGTATCACTAATTCTAAAATGTAATATAAATATACTTATACACTTTTATAAGCATATTTTTTTTTTTTACAAAGTATTCATTTCTAATTCAGTTTCATCTGTAATAAATGGCCTCTTGACCCACAGTTTCCCGACTCTGGATCCGCCCCGGCTTGGTACTAATAATACGAATATACAAATAAAACCAAGTTTATACGTGTAAAGGTCCACTAAAACCGAAGCGGTAACGGCAGCGGTATTTATCGCTTTTTAAATACCGCTGATCTAACCTAACCGGAGAGCGAAATATTTCGCCGAAAATTACTAGTCGACATTGTGACACCCATGCGCGTACATGTACTTTAGTTATTATTGCATTTTTATTTATTTATATTAATATTTTAAAGTAAAAAATAACAAATTACTATTTTAAATATAATCTTAAATATAATGCCAAATATAATCTTTTTTTCTCGTATCCTTGAATTCTGGAAGTGTCATATTATATATGATGGGATATTCTTTAACAACAGCTATTAACTGTTCAACTTTATTGGTCATTTTTATTGTAAATAATAAATTTTAAACAAGAGAATCATACATTCATACACCACGACGTTAGATTCAACTGCAAGGTGTACGATTACGACGAATGCGATATGTGTTTGAATATAAAGTCAAAATATATCGTGCAATATAATGATAAGCTTTCTATAGATATTAATATATTAATAATAAAATGTAGATAACTCATAGTTGGGAATTTACAACTAATTATTGCTGCGGTAAGCGAAAAATATAGTGTCTGTAGCGAAAAATAAAAATATCGCGCTCAATCTTGCGGTAACATTTTCGCCGCGGTATTAATTTCGCGATAGTGAGTGCGCTCGTATTAAAACGTATGGACATTAAATTTCGCTGTAGTTACCTCTTCGGTTTGAGCGGACCTTAACGCTCGAACAAAAGTGAGGCGTTCGGAAGTAAATATATACATATTTATGTACATGGATTATACATTTTTTGGGCTGTTAAAAAAACATCAATTAAACTGAACGAGTCAACACTTACACTATCCATCGTTGAATATGCAGTAGAATAATGCATATTCATATATATATATATTATACATTTTATATAAATAGAAAAAAACTGTCTTCACGAAGAACTACAAAACATTTCGTCCTACGCCCAACAAACTATTTCGGTCACACCGTTAAGCTAAGAACAATTGAAAGATAGATTTTTAATAGTTTTAATTAAACTTATACATTTTAATTTTTATGAGAATATCGTTGTATATAAAAATTGTATATCGAATTTGTGGTTTATTATTTATAAACGTTTAGATTTCACTAGAGTAAACGCCATAGAAGCAACTAGGAGAAAAGATAAATTAACAGAAATATTTTGATGCATCTTAATATATACGTTTCAACAATATTTACTTTAAATTATTAATTACTTCATAATTAATAAAAAATACTTTTCGGTTCTAAATATGGTCGTTTATTTGTACACAGTAGTTATTACGTGGTAAGTTCTTACTGTTTCTTTAAGAGATTCGATACAGACATGTACTGTATTTATCTTTCAGTAGTACTTAATTAGTAAAAACTACTCACTTTTGTTCATTATTACGATTGATGTATTGAAGTGATAAGGATTTTGAAAATGCATTTGAGGTATATTAAATATACTTTGATGATTTTAAAAACGTCACGAGTTACATATTTGATAAAATTGAGGTATTAGTAAAAACGTATAATAGTCATGGGTTTTTACACTCGACGCATAGAAACACATGACTAGTATACATTTTTACTAAACTTTCAATTTCATAAAACATGTGACTTATGATGTTTTTGCAATCATCGAAGTATATTTAATATATTTCAAATGCATTTTCAGAATCCTTACTCCTTCAATACATCAACCGTAATAATAGAAAAAAGTGAGTAGATTTTAATATGTTACTGGTGTGAAAGACAACATATATCGGTATCGAATCCCTTTAACTATTTACATATTTCAATTATTGGTACTTAGATTTTATATTATGCCTTCGGCATTAATTTGAAGCATATTATTGGCCGCATTTCCTTGAAAGTTTATTTTTTCCCACAACCAATGGCCATCAATTCAAGAAAACTTATCGCAAGTCATATATCTATAAAATATTTTTCTGAAAATATAGATCACATGGCTCAGTAGTAGTAGTAGTAATGCCTCTACAGAAATTTATACCTCGGTATTTTCCTGGGTTATGTAGAGGTAATGTTTAATATGTGATATCTTTATCAAAACGTATATCCTACTTCTACAATTGAAACGACGAGCTTGATAGAAAAATGAACCATAATTTAGCATATTTCCAAATTTCAATTGCTGTTTTTTCATTTTTTCGTAACGGTTCGTCTTGCTGATTTCTCAAAATTATAATAATATTTACAAATAATTCTATACGTAGTTGCTCAATTCTAATATGGCTTAAGTCAAAACCTCTTGATATACCACATTCAGAGTTTTATTTTATGGTGCATAAACGTATTAATAGTCAGGTATTCCAACTCTAGAAAATGCCACATACAATTGCCTATGTGAAAAACAGTTATTTACCAAATCTACACTACAATAAGTCAAAGTTCATCCTTGGGCTTTGTTTATTGTAATTGCAAAACAGACTTTTAACGGAATTTGAAATCTTCTAAACTTAGCTGGATAATGGTTGGGGTATTCTCAGAAAAATATTTTTTCTCCCTTAGCACATCCGGTCAAAATTTCAACTTCAATTACATATTTTTAAGAGAGGTTATACGGAGCCTGGTCCCATATAATCATACATAATCAAGGATAATTGAATTTCTCAAAAGTATGATTGGAACTCCCACCGTCAGGGATATTTTATGAGGAGGCATATCAGATGGTGTTAGTGAGTTTAAGAACTCTATAGAAAAATGTACCGATTCTTCACTATTAACAACTGTATCGATAGAAAAGTATCGATATCCATTTTTAGTGCTTGAAATCCACTAATTATTAGCGAGTTTATTGAGTCAGCTCGGTTATTTGTGGTTGTCAAAATAACACGATTTTCCATATAATCTTACATAAGTCATAGCAACCGTTATCGGTTGACTGTTGTTATTATTATAAGAATATAGATATACAAATTACGTGTAAAAAATTATTTTTACCGATTTCAACTTTTTGAAATAAAAATTTTGAAAATTGGGTGACGTGGTAACACTTAGGAAGGTATTTGGAACAATTCCATGAAAAAAAAAAATTGCAAAAAGGTTAAATATCATTGTCACAAAATGGGTACAAAAAAAAGGCTTGTTATTTTATAATATTATATGTATATTATATATAAGAATTATAGGAGTACGGGAACATTAGCATACAAAAAAAACCTTGTTTACATTGTGTTTTATTGGACTACTTTGTTCTCCGCTAACAATCGGTATTTGTGTACTATGAATTAGTCGTTTTCCATATCGTTTCATCCCGTGCGGAATAATAATAATTGTATATTTGTATAATGATATGCGTAAGCTTTCTCGGGCACACTCATTATTGCTGACGCCGTACACCATTAGTTAATGGCCACTCCTTAAAATGTTGTGTAGAACCTGATCATCGTATTGTAACTTGTACCAGAACTTTTACTTGAAGGCTAAAATCTGATTTTTGTGTTCGCATATACGTGCGGTTAATGTTAATTTTTCAGAATTCTTTTATGATATTCAACGTTTAATAGTGTGACGCATGATGTAAAAAAATACGACCTATGTCTTCAGTGATGTAGTGTATCGTATGAAATATGTTTCACGCTTAATTGGAAAGTGACATTAGCGTATTCAATTGAGTTATATTATACATTTAAAACTCATTAAAATTTCTGATTAGTTACAGGCGTAAAATACAAGAAAATATCATTTATCTTAAAGTAGTATATTATATTTTATCATTCATCTTGTTCTTTATTCATAAAACATTTTGATCGACAGTAAAGAAAAAAAAAAACAAAAAATAAAAATAAATTGATTACATCATTGTAGTCGATATTGTAAACATAAGTAATAATAATAATAATGATAATAATAATAATATAATAAAAATAAAAATAATACAAATTCATAATAATATTAATCTTAGTTTTATCAACAAAACAAGAGAAAACAAAAGAAAACGATATATTTTGGTTTTACACTCCCTATGATACAAATACGAATACATTGATACATTTTACTAATAACTGTCATAAATAATGTGTCATACATGCGTCATGCCGTTTCTGTGATCACATTTAACGAACCACTGAGCGTTAGGATTCATTTGGTATACAGCCATCATGTTGGCGGTGGGTTCTATGCGCCGTTGCCCTATAGATAATAAAACATTCACGTGAGTATATTAAATTGCGTCCAATTACTAAACGAGTCATAAAATATAAAAATTAAATTATTTTTCCCTAAATTAGCGAAAACTGTACACAGAATAGGTTATGACACCGAATAGATTATGCCTAATGAATTTATGTCCAATACTAGTGTATAATTCATTTTTGTGAAAAGGAAATTTTCCAAAATATTACATTACTACGTTTTGAACTTAATGTTCCAAAATCAACTTTTTTCCATTTTTTTTTCTTGGTATAATACGAGTAATCATAGTTGTAAGTTATGTTATCTAGTCGTACTATGTTCATCATAGTTTTAATTATTATATAAATTACATTACAAGTAAGACCATAGCGGGAAAATTATTCCAAGTATTATCTTGATTCTATCCATAATCAGTTATTTTTTAGCTAACTTTTTATTTTTGTCTATTCAGTAAATATTGATTTAAAAAAATTAAAATAATTAATCTGCAATCAAGTAGTATAGTCAAATATTTAATTTAATAGTGATATTAAACTATATTGGTATTTAAAAAAATTATAAAATCAAAATTATAAAAAATTATTAAATGGTTAATGCTCGTAAATTAATATATATATAAACAAATAATTTATATATAGAAATAAATAAATAAATCAGTCTGTCTGAGTCCCGATTTTATTTTTTCATATTCAGTTGTGATTTTAGTGACATAACAATGAATTTTTAATTCGATACCGATCATAATTTATAAATATAATAATACTCCAGACTAAGGTTTTATTTATTTATGTATTTATAATATGTTTAATTTATAAATAAATGTGTTCGTTTTAAAAAAATTTAAATAATTTATAATTAATTAATTAATTAATTTATTAAAATTCATAATATATAGTTCTTCATATTTTTTTAAATGTGTGCTATTTGATAGCAATATTGTTTTAGCATAGTAATCTTCAGAACTATGTTCTGTGTTCACATAGTTCCAGTAAGTTATTCAACTTAATAAATCTTACCTATGAGTCTACGACCTTCACATTTTTGGTAATTTTTACATTTTATATTATAAAGCAGCAAACGCATATCTGAATAAGACTAAAGTCGTAATACATAAATTATATGAAACTATTTGAACGTTAAATTTGTCGTTAAGTTTTTTTATATGGGTTTTATTCCATATATTAGAGTAACAGTTATCAAAAATAACTTTTAAATAAAATACAAAAGGAATTCAAAATTTTTGTACAAAGTTGATATTACACTAATAATTGAACATGATGCCTTACCGATATTGCCACCAGTTTCATATAGAAAATGTGTCCTAGTAGCCATATCGGGATCAGCGGTTGTCAACAAGCATGACAAGTTTCCATTGGGAGCAAGTTCAGTAAGTGCTCTTGACTTGAGGTCCTTGCGGCAAGGCTTAGAACTGTGACCATTCTTAGTTACTGTTTGTTTGGCGGCTTCTTCTACAATTCTTTAATACACAATTTATTATTTGGATGTGATATTATCTGATACATTAGCTGGTAATACAATACTTACTTAAGAATGACATCACCGACTGATGTTGTATCAGATAAAAACAATGGAATAGCGGAAATCCGAAATTGAGGGGCATCGACACGGACCACACCGTCTTGATAATCAACTTCGTTGATAATTTTTTTGGTGACAATATCCGTTTTCTTTTTTCCAAGGAACCTTCTTACCTGTAAAAATAATATAAAATATTATTTTAATGATACATTGCAATTGGTAAATTATACATAAATTAAAAATATGAAATCCCAATTATGTTATTACAAGATTATTGTTTGTGTTTGTGGTAGAAATACTCTTTATAGAACAAATACCAAGTAATATACATACGGGATTATTATTTTCTTTCAGTCTACATTGGTATAGTTCGTTGTTATGTCTAAGCTGAGTCATGAGGTCATTAGGAACTAAGCACAACTCTTCGATGTGGTTCATCAGAGTTTCGGTTAGACGGCAGCTACGGGCAGCCTGATCTAGATGTGACTGTAAGTCTTTTTTCTCCAAATGTACAGACCTATGGTAAAACAATGTAAATAAAATGTTTTATTGTTATCTTATTTTGTGTCTATAAATGCATTTGTTGTTCATTATTTACCTAGGTGGAAATAAAGATGGAGCAATGATCATAGCCACATTGTGTTCGGTCATCTTATTCTCTAGGTCGTGTCTTTGTTGGTATTCCACTAATTTCGACATGAACTGTAAGAGGACACGCAAAGTAGCCCTGTTTTCTGTGGGTAACAGTAGCACCAGTAGATTCAATGCTCTCACAGTGTCAGGTACAGCTAAAAACATAGAGTTGTTAAATGTTAATTCAAAATTAATTAATACCTGAATTAATTAAATGGTATACTATAGAACTCACAATAGCTTTGGTAAAATAAGTTGACTAGCTCATGGGTAAGCAATAACCCGGGCAAGTCTCTGAGCAAACGTTTCAGTAGTGCGACCAGATCGTGCACAGAACATTTTTCTAACAGCTGATCCACTTCTTCGTGTTTGGCGTAGAAAAACTTCTCTACTGCCCCACATAGTTTGTCAACTTTTGCTTTTGGGGCCGCCATACGTAGTAGACCTTGCTCCCCTAAACCACGTTTTTCTAACTGTCCAAGGACTTTCTGAACAATCAAAGGTACCTGAACGCGACGGTTGGCGATTGTTTCATCTCGGTCAACTAGTGTCGATAACGAAACACCGAAAATCGTACCTTCTGTTTAACACAAGGAAGTGATTAAAACAAACCCTAACTTGATTAATTTACATTCAATATTGAAATAACTACCTTCTCTTCTTTTGCGTTTATGCGGTTTTCCTTTGTGAAACGGTATACCAGCACTGTCAAACATAGCGGAAAGTTCGAGAAATAACAGAGGACGCAGTTTGGCTAAGTCTTCATCGCTTAAGGAATCCGGCCAAGTCCTTCCAGTATTTTCATCCACGGATGAATATGATCTCTATAAATGTGAAGTATTATTTAAATATCATATTATTTTTATTTATGTTATGTTAAAATCTGCTTAAAATAGATACCTCTAAATGGTAATTGTTGTTTTGCCACATTTGTTCAAATCCCACGTACTGAGAACTATTTCGATGGTTATCGTTTGTTTCATATAAACAACCATGGCTGCGGGTAAGACCAGATTGAGGTGCTACTAAATCCATACTAACAAAAAAAATATAAGTGTTTAATGGATGTATAAAAAAATAATGCTATTATCATACTTCCGTGGACCGACATGTTCGTCAGAAGCGCTCGAGTACAGATGTAGTGGATCGCTACCGCTACGACTTCTATCTTTTATCATAGGTAGTGGTCTTTGTTCAAACTTATAACCACGTACAGTGCCTAGTCTTTGAAAACCAACCATTGTAATACCATCTGTAAAAAAACATTGTTTATAATCATATCAATCACTCTTTGAGTAACACTCGAAGTATAATAAAAAGGTACTTAATGTGTCTAGTATAATGAATTCGTATTTAAATTGTTTTGAAATAATAGGTAGTTAAATAAAAGTAAAAATATTATATATTTTAGTTGTTGTACAACAGCTTTACGATAGTTGGGATAAAATAACAAATAATCATTGTATTTCAAATTTAAATTATAAAAATCAAACAACAAATATACGAGTAGTATAAATAATATAAAGTAATTGAAAAATGTATGATCCCACATAGATCCAAATGTCTGTAATTATTACTGTTAAAATTATTCTGAATCGAATAATCATAACTATAACCATTACTATTATCATTTAAATTACATAATACAATTTTTATTTTGCGGTATTTATAATATTATTATGTCACTCTTCGAATGTTTTAAGACTTTAGGGCTAGGTCTTCGAACTTATACACTATTGTAATGGATAATAGGTAATAGATAATAGGTAATTGATTTCTAGAATGAAAATTATAGTATTATATTTAGTTTATTTCTCTTGGGTAACAATACAATATAGTGTAGTGCAGTAGATAGTCTTAAAATTGTATAACATTTAAAATAACATTGTTACACTTACCACTTTCAGAAGCTACGATACCATTATTACTTCGATTACTTCTACGGAATATGTCTCTGGACGGTAAAACTGGTGCACTTGGCATTCGACGGACATCTTTTTTGGAACATCCTCTCAAGTCATGATTAGATTCAATAAACCTGGAAAATATGACAAATAGATAGTAAGTGCAACTTTAACTAATGACCGGATTTGTCCTGATAAGTCTACTTAAGTTGACTTTTCTAAACTTTCGATTTAATTTGTCTAAATCGTAGTGTATAGATAATCACGTGTGTATAATTGTACCCGGTATAAGTTACTCATTAAAAATGTATAAATATAAATTTAATCATTTGTGGTTATTAATGAGTTTCAAAGATACACATTATGGGGTTTGAACTAAATTTGATTTTTTTAAATATTAAACTATTTATAACAATCATTTATTTTATGTTGAATATTTTGAGCATTCAGTTATGGTAACAATTATTTGGTACATTGCAGAGTTTGGATAATGTTAAAAATAACTGTACGTAACTGAAATAACCTTTCATAATCCGAGTGGTACAAGTATGCATGAAGTAAAAAGAGAAAAATTGTTAGTTAAGGCAATCTAAGTATATCACATAAACATTAATATATTGTTATTAGCGTTGACAGTGTACAAAATAAAATTCGTATCAACCGGTGGAATGAAAACTCGTCGACATATATTAGTTAATATCTTTATTTGTATTGTTCGAATGACCAGATCATAACGTAGTGCAGTTTCAAGGTGTTTTCATTCCAGTAAATTACCGATTAAATTTCCTGCAAACGTACAAGTTACATACGTGAGCACGTCTTAATACTTTTAAAAACCCATAATATCCTTGACCTATAGTGCAGTATATATATATATATAGTGGTTCGTTAAACAGCATTTAAAGAACATAAATATTACTTTTAGAAGCCGAATAAAAAATTTCACTTTTGTACATGTGAACTTAGTCGAGTGCGTATCCATTATAATGTTATAGTTACTATTAAAAGCGGAAACATATATTTCCAAACTGATCGTGTTGGGAATCCGGTTGGTTTTCGGGTAATAACGAGGTATTAAATATATCCCCCGAAACCACTCCATGACGTGCAGTGAGTTCACTTACGCATTGAAACTCACCGAAAAAATTAAAGCTATTGTAGTGAAAAAAAATAAAATGAAATAAAAATTATCGAAAAATAGTGGGTTTGCTAAAACAAACGAAACAAAACGTGACTCGCTTTCGTTTTGCGGTGGTTAATTCATAACCTATTGTTTTATCGCGTCCGTGGCTTATTAATGACAACCTTGACTGGTGGGAAAACTCTGGGCGAGTCGAAAAAAAAAAAATTAATAATTACTTATAATACACTTGTATTATTACACACGTGTTGTGGACGGTTGCAGTGCGAGAGAGTCTATTTACGGGAGCGAGCGCGCGCGCGCGCGCTTAATTACAGGAGAGCCTTGGAACGGCAAAAATCATAAATTATTACATTGCTCTTTACTTGCCGAAAAAAAAAAAAAAAAAAAAAAAAACAAAAAAAATGAAAACAAAATAAAAACGTATAGTTATAAGATCGAGCGAGTGTGCAATCGTTACTCGGTCGGAAGACGGAAACGAGATAATGGATTAAAACGAAAACAACGAAAAACCGTGTGTTCCCTGAGACGTACTTTTTCTAAACGAAAGCGAACGGCCGTTTAACGCACAACCAGGTACAACCGCCGTGCGTCAGCCCTGTTGACGTGTTCGTCCGAAAGTTTTTTTTTTTTTTACACACACGCGAGCGCACGTCGCTCGTCAGAAGAATACGAACATCGTGCGCGTAGACACTATTATAGCGAATAGTTGCGGTGGGCGTGGCCCGAGCCGCTGATGCCCCGAAGTACACGCGCGCATTGTTAAAGCTGCGTCACTCGGTCGTATTGGGTTCGGCCGAGCCGTTATACTTATTGGAATAGTAATTAAAACCGAACATTCCAACGAACATGTATATTATACGCGCCGCCGAACGCGTGCAATGTACACATTATTATTATCGTTATGTACGGTGCCGGTGGAATCGAACGAGAAACGTTCGGAAAGATATCGAAAAAAAAAAAAAGCGGTCCGAGCAGCCCCATAGGAGGTCACCGCCTGCTCTCTCGCCGACTCGCCGCCAATCAGCCATCTCGTCGTCGTCGTCGTCGTCGTCGTCTTGCGCACACCGCGCACGCTTATTATAATGGGTAACGGCGTACGTCCGTTACACGCAATACGTTTGCGTCGTACCGCGACCCGCGAGACGCAGGCGCGTCGACCGGTACGTCGAACCTTATCTCCGGCGAAAATCCACCGCTGTATTACAATCGTAGATAATGATGTAATGCCTACGCGCGATCGCGACCGGCTGCAGCGATTTATTTGTTATCAGTCGAATGGTGGTGCAGTTAGTATGGTCGAGGAACGAACGGGTTAACGTCAGGAGGAGGGTTCCGTTATGAAGCTAACGTTACGATACGATGCGAGGAGAGTGAAATATCATATCCGCACTCGGATCTGACACGATATATTTATGCCTACAACTAAAATGTTCGTACACCTAGCTGTAACTGCGAGCACGAGCTATTGATTGCCGTCGATAAACGAAGTCTAACGCGCGGTATGCAACGGAACACACAGGTAAAATCGAATTGGAATGACTGGGCTTGTGTTTCTTCGCGCAACTGATTTCTTATGAATTTTAGTATTCAAAAGTACAATTTACAAGGCGAGTATGTATTTCAATGAAATAAATAAATAAATAAACATTTAATCGTCGGTATAATCGACTGTTAAGTTAAAAAAAATCTAATAAATATCTTGTATGTTCGTTGTGTACAGATTAAAGAGTTACCATAGTTAGCCTATCAACTTAACATCAGATTTACCGGACTAACTTTATCATAATGAAAGTCTTAATTGACATATTTTTTGTGAAATTTATATGTGTATACACTAAGAAAAATAAATTTGGATTCTCGTTCTATGAGTTCCTATAGATTGTGATTCCAAATACGAACATTAGGTCATGGATATATAAGTGATAACAGAGAGTAACAGAAATTATCAAACAATGAATTCGATAGTCAAATTTTACATATTGAAAATAATATGTAAAATACAACTGATCGGTGGCGCCAAACCCTATATTCGGGTAAGGTAGATGATCTACCTTAGAAAATCTTGTTGGCTGGTGGCTGGTGGGTGGTCCAGTGGTTGGGTTAGCGAGTTATTACTTATTGTGAAGCCAACATAATAACTGTGTAACTCGTTAGTATTTATCATCTAGTAGAATAATTGATGTGTCTTATTCGTTTAAGGTAAAAATTATTAGGTTCTTAATCCAATCGTGGAGTAGTGGTGTCTCATAATTTTAAAACTACGCCCTACCTTTTATAGTTTCAGGCAAACTGCAACTGATTTATAAATTGATGATGAATTACAACGAAAATGGTCTGTACAATTATTTATGAATATCATTGTGTGTTATGGTTTTTTTTTTTTTTAATTGTGTATATGTTTATTAAAATTCTACGGTAGATCTGCTAAGTTTTTACATTTTTCAAAGTTAAAAACGAGCTATCGGAGTAAACTATATAGGAATTTGATTTTTATAATCAAATATCTACTATAATACTTGTATTATACAATAGCTAAAGGATACCTAGGCTTTAAAATATCTATTCTTCTTCTTCTTTTATCATCAACAGCCCAAAGACTAGTTGTCAACGATTTGCCTCTCCTGACGTTTCATCGCTTTTTTTTTTCAAAATACGATCTGCCGTCCATATTTCTTATTATTTGACTAATATTGTCCAATAATGGTCGCCCTCTGCTATTTTTCCTCTCAATGACACATTCTATTATTCTGCTAAGTAGCCTGTAATGGTGTAGTATGTGCCCAATTAACTTGACTCTTCTTGTTTTCAAGGTCTTCAGAAAGCTTCTTGTTTCTTCTGCTCTTTGATAAACATCTTGATTTGTTATGTTTTCTGTTTAACTATTTCCAAGCAACCTCCTGTAACCCCAAGTCTCAAAGCTAAAAGTCTTATTTCTTCTGTTTTATCTATGGTCCATATCTCACTTGCTATGCTCCAAATATAAGTCTTTAATAAGTTTTTCTTCACTTTTAATATCCATTGATACACACAAAGTAAAATTAAGTACAACGAATAATGAATGTTAACTTCGTTGTTTGTTTGAATTATACGTAATTTTTGAAATACGTGAATTTTGTTTAATTTTATATTAAACAATGTATTATTGTTGTTCTATGCTCTACAACACACATGAATTTACAAATATAAGAATTACACATTTTTTTCCTTAACGCTGTACCCCAGAGTATGATACCGCTGTGGCTGTTGTGAGAATTTAAAATGTTTGACTTGAGCCGACGTGCATTTTGGGTACACGTTGTTGATTGTTCCACGCCAGTGTGCACTGATGCATCTCTACAATTTATTTGGTCGACAGCCAATTATTATCAATAGAATTATTAGCAGCTGGAAACAGATTACGGCCGAGGTTATCATTAAATGTTATACCATTTTCATATAAAAAAAAAAAAAACGGTAATCATTAAATCATTGTTTTAGGTTTTTTTACGCTGTAACATATTATCCGCGTAGCAGTTCGTCGGAGTTCTAACGCACTGGTCAGAGGTACTCATTGTACGAAACGGCCGACGCAATGACGTATCCGTTCGCTGGACAGTGCGCGTACGATGTAGACGGTCGAGTATGAAAATATTATTTCACTAATTCATGACGTTCAAACAACATTTTAAGTTCATTGTGTTCTGTGTGACTGACGTGCGAAGCCCGCCCGCGCGCGTATACACATTAATGCGAAACAGCACAATCAGTTGCTACTTAAATTACTGAGACCCGGTGATTCTCCCGAGACTACCCGACATGGTTTAGACTAATTATTTTCTCATCTAGTCATGTCTTATTATTTTACGTTAGACTGCGAAAGGAGCGGCATCAAATATCGATTTAAAAAAAAAAAAACCATTGTTCGGTATTTCAAACAATTCGTGAACTATGTGGTTCGCGCATTTCGTCGAACACTGAAAAAGTCATAAATCCAAGATGAAACGTTTTTTCTGTTTATCAGGCAATAAACAAAATGCTAAACATTTCATTAGATGTTTTTATTTTTTGGAAATTATTGTCTTTGTGAGCAATTGATGATTGTCAATAATTGATTATTAATTATTTTAAAATATAAAATTGTTAAAAACTTGTGTACTATTTAAACAATTTCCATTATAAATTACTTTTATTTAATTATTACAATATTTTAATGTTAGCAACAATACAGTGTCATTATTAAAATTTTTTTTTATAGAGCAAATAATTTTGAGTAACAAATATTTTCAAACCAACCACAACCATTGAATTAAATCGTATTCAATAATGTTTTAATGATACCACGAAATACGGATTGACAATTAAAATTTCAAATCATAACATAGACTAAAACATATAGAATAAATTATACTTTGGAAAATTGTTAAATCAACACAAAAACAAATACATACATACGGAATCTACTAAAAATAGGACTACATAAAAAACTGATAGATTGGTCGTCACGCTTTACTTGATTCGATAGAATTATAAATAATCATACGCATTTTTAATGTTTATTTAAAAAAAAGCTTGACTTACATATAATCGGGCATAAATATTGTTAGGAACTGGTATCTCTATTATTTAATTTTTCCACTATTTAGTAGATTTTATTTTATTTATTTTTTTTTTTTTTTGAAAACTCGACTTAAAGACAGTCTGCTCTAAATTAAAATAAATAAATGACTAGTTAAAAGAAAAATATAATTAAAAATTCGTTTTAATAAGTTATAACACTTTAAAATCTATTTGATGGAGTAAACCGATGTTTATTCCTTTGTTATTTTACCTCTTCAATAAGTTATACTGACAGCAACTGTACATAGGAAGTGAACTTTACGTAGATCACTTGATACTTGTGTAATGGCCAAGTGTTAATAATAACATGAAAGCAATATACAGCTATTGCACTCGAAAAACGATTCTATACTGTATGGTTTGTTTCGTTTCATATGAGTACAATACAAATATTTATATAAGTTGAAAGGATCATATTATGAAAATGATTCTAATCGATGTATCGAGAAATGTAGCGTGCTTCACTGAAAAACATTGAATCAATGTGTTTGTTAAGTATAAATTTATGATATTTATATCGATATGTTTTTTTGAGTTGCTATTGTTTACGGTCCATTTTTATGATGCAATATTTTTCCTTGCATGAAGACATAATTATAAAATTCATACTAGCTACTAGGCAGTAAATAATAATAAATTATAATGGCTAAAATAAAAGCAACAACATTTTTAAGTTTTAACAAAACTTTTAAGAAAAATAATGTAACGCAACATATCGCTTGGCGACATGAAATCTTTCAGAAAAAAAATTTAGTTTCCAGCCCTAAAATCTAATTACATTAAAAACTCAACACTTCTATTTATTTCGATTTTTAGATTCAACTATTTTATTTATTATTCTTCTATTCAAATAATTACATTAAACAGTAGAATAATATAACCAAAACCAGGGCTGTGTTAACGACTTTGTCGTCTAAGACAAATTTCATAGTGCCAGTTATAACTATGATACGTCCTCTTCCATCGAAAGTTATAAAAATGTAAAATTAACCATAGTGTCACAACTTTTTTAATCTCGAATAGATATTTTCGTAGCATTACATTTTTAAATCAAAAACCTAAACAAATATTATTTATTTTTTAAATTAAATTAATATAATTAGTAAAAACTATTTTTAAAAAAAAATTCTGTTTTCTTATAATATGAAATACAGAAAGTAGCCTTAGACAATAAGGCAGAAAAACACCAAAAAGTTTTATAATAGAAAAATTATCCTTGTCCTATTACAATGAAATGTTTAAACTATAGTTACCTACTACTTACTAGTAGTAATATATTATTATATGATTAAGCTTAAGAAATAAAATGTAAATCTTATAAATAAAAGATAATGTCTAACAAATTTAGCCATCTTTACTTTAATTATTATAAGATAAATAACACAAGTTATGATTTTTGAAATATCGTTAGAATAACGTATATTTGATTTGTAATTAATATTTTTAAGATTTTATATTAAAATTAAAGAATCAAATTAGGAACAAAGATAAAAATCTCTCTTTATATATATATATATATATATGAATCAAAAGTAATTCTCATTAAATTTTTTTGAAAATTACTCAAAACTACATACATTTTTGCTTAATAGATTATACATTACTAATAAAGATTTTTCGCTATTGGTAAAATAGAGAAATAAAAAAGGTTTTTTTTTTTTAAACTAATTCTTTATATTTTATAAATCATAATTCATTGATAGTCATTTAATATTTTTTGGATAATTTATGTGACATTTAATAATTGAATTTTTTTCCACTTTTAAATTATTTAATACATCTAAACAACACGAATGAACGTTTTAAACACAGGATATTGTAAATTCAATTTATTTGAGTCTAGAATAATTAAATCAAGTGTATATTGCACACGTTTAACATATACTACAAAGAGAACATTTTAACAGCGTATTTGTTTTGTTATGTCATATTAATTGTGGGATTAAAGTAAATATGATAATATTCGATTGTGTGACTCGGTAAGGATTAGTAAACAATTTTTTTTATATATATATATATATATATCTTGTCAGTATAATCAATTGAAATAATTATTTAATTCGTTTTAATCTATTTTACTTTATTATGTATAACAATAATAATAAAAACGCTTACATATCACTTTGAAAAAGAACAAGTATTAGAATAATTAATATAATTTGTTAATAAAACGAAGTAAACGAAGTATACGCAGTAAATTATAATCCATTTTGTATTAAAACACTTATGTTCTTATGTTTTTATTTCATGTGACATATTTCTCATATTTCTACCAATACGTTTATGACAAATATTAGTGATTAATTCCGTTTAATATTATTATATTTATGATATTTTTTATTGCATATTTATAATCTACCACTTATATTTTATTTATTACTCATTTTTGAAGTATTATGTAATTTCTTGTAATTCTCACGAGAGGTCAGTGACCTAAAATAAAAATTTGTCTACTCACTTTGGTAATGGTGGTGATACTGCTATTTCCGTTTGAGACCATGACATGGGTGGACTATTCGAGTCCGAATCCGGTGTTGCACTCCTCGATCTGGAACTAGAACTTAAACTCTGAAACAATGGACAGCACATGTTAGAATTATAGTTCGAATTGCGATAATTAAAAACTAAGAAATTGTTCTGAAATAATTTGATCAACGCAATATAAAAACTGCAACTTGATATTTTTTACTGTTCATAGTTTCCACGCAATTGATCAAAACACTTTTCCTATCACTAATTGTGGACCCGGAATTTATGACGATAACATACGTTTAAAAATATTAGAAAACATAATTGCAAACTTGATAATTTTTTTTTTTTTAATGAATATGATATATATATATATATATATATATATTGAAAATAACATTAATAAATTGTATCAATAATAATTTTGAAACACGTGGACCTGATAGACCGACTTATGAGTGATATATTATAACTGACTACATTAAATGAATAATAAAGATAAGTCTTGTAATCACGATGGCAAACCCTAATAAAAATATGAATAAATTATGTAAAGTATAAGCATAGTAATTGCATATATATATATATTGGAAAATAGGAAATATTATTTATTTGAATATAACTAACTATAAATCATTATTAATTTGTAAGGCTTGCCTCAGAATTACAATTCTAATCCGATTTATTTTGTTACACGTTTTTTTTTTATAGTCCAGAATCTTAACAGGATAAATACTTACATAATTCTTGTTAAAAAATAATTCAACTTTCAGCTTATCCAAATTTGTAACATATTTAATTGTCAGTTTTTTGTTAGATTAATTTCAATGTAAAAAAAATTAATGTAAACTTATTGGAATAAATAATTCAGGATTATGTACAATGAATATAAAGCATGAAATATTAATATAAGATTCTTAATTTTGTATTATTAATGTTCTTAAGATCGCCTTTACTATGTACATAGATTTTATTATTTCATAATTTATAGTGAGCAATTTAATTATTTTAAAAAAATGTTAGTGTCAACGATTTAGTCGATATGCTATTCAATAATTTATGGATCTTGTATGGTATAAATATAACGTGATGTAGTTTTGAAAAAAAAATCATTGATGTTTAGTACAATAACATTAAGTTATTAACATCAAGTTATATTAAGTTATCTTAAAAACGTTAAATAAATTCAAATTTTAGGGATCCCTTTAATTCTTAGTTCTTTAGAATAGTTAATACTTCATAATAATGTATATATTTTTCATAAATAAATTTAATTAATGTCACTATTAGTGTTATAATAACTGATGAGTTATAAAATGGTTATAAGTAGAGTACGGATTTTGAAGGCATTTTTTTTTTTTCTATTGCTCTAAAACGAAGCTATGTCAGCAACAAAATCGATTTATACTACCTATTTAAAATAAAATACACGACATTTTATTTTGCTTTTTGGGAAACTTTTTTTTTTGCTTTTAAGTTAGATTTTTTAGATATTAATGCTTTTTTGGGTATTTTGGAATTTATACAGCTTTATTGCTTTTTTGAGTGCTTTTCTTTAGTTTTCTTTAAAATCAGTACTCTAGCTATAACGCATTACTATTATATTCTACTAATAATTATTCAAATATTTCAAAATATTTCCATATTGATAAAGTATATAAAAACGATACATTTCAGTTAAAATCTATTTTAACATCTTAATCTGAAATATTTATGACGTTATTAATGCCACACAATATCTTCATAGCTTATATAAAATACTTAAACTTACTTCGAAGTCACGGAAAACGTCTCTGATATCAGGTTTTTTGTGTCTGGCCTTTAGTTGTCTACCTCTTTGGCGGACCGTATGATTGAGCGAATGCACTCTCAACCTGACAGCATTGGCTTGTCTGGTGGAGAGGTGCCTGATGGCCGGTTCGAGTTCCGAATCAGGAACTTCGCACCCATTTTCAAATGCTTCAGTTAGGAATGATAGACCAGCGGATGACAACCAATCGGCTTCTACAGCTCCTTCTGACAAATGAGCGGCAACGAAGTCTTGTTCTGGTGGACATTCTTCGTCGAGGTAACTATCGAGTTGCCTTGTTTCTTGTATGATCTTATACTCATTCCAATAGTCTTCGAAATCTTGACTTACGTCTGTCTCCATGGCCTGTAAAACACAAAACCATTACTTTAGAATTTTTTGGTAGACACATTAAAAACAGCATTTAATTAATACATAAAATACAGATAATTTTTTAGATAATACGAGTACAATTCTTAGATTATTAGGTAAGCTTATTATTTAGTGTGAGGTGCATTTGACTTTTGACCATGATGATTCAGCATACTAAACTATATGCTCAATGTTTTATAATTATAAAGACTATCTATTATTTTTCCATAATTAAATCGAATATTAGTAACAAATAATATATGTCTCAGTACGTTTTAATATGGTTTAAACTTAGTTAATTTCCTTTTAAATTATAGAACCAAGTAATAAGTTAGCTATCAAATATAATAATTATCAAAATTAAACTTATGAATTGTATTTTTTCAATGCATATCCTTGTTTAATAACTAGGAGGTACTTATTTATAGGAGGTATATATAGGAGGTACTCCGAAGCAATGTGAAAAACAGTTCCAGGGCCGTCGTCAGTCCCAATAAAAAAAAAAAGGAGGTACATATTTATTACATTTATAATTAATGATAGGTTATAATTATAATTTATATAATATAAATAATATTATAGCCTTAGGAGTAATATTGATTTTAGTTAAACTACAAAATAGTTAACACAGTATAAAATTATAGGATTTTAGTTTTTATCAACACGTATTATACTTTTATTTATTTTTTTAAATAATAAGTTCTGATTATATATGTGTAGCAATTGGAAGTAACCGCATTTCAGTTTAATTTCTTATTAAAAATAATGATGAAATTATAAATTAAATTAAAAATTAGTGATTTACAAATTTTTTTGGTGTTAGATTTAGCAAAATGCAAAGAAAAGAATTGTACCAAATGATTTGCGTCTTTAAATGTATATTTTAATTTACATAATCACATGGCAAACGGACAGACTAAGAAAGTTACCAAACTTGTTCTTGTGTGGTACAAATTACTTCAAGTTCATCAGTTTAACCTATATTTATATGATGTTACGGTTTCTGAAAATTGGATTGACCAATTTTCCTCGGCTACCTAAAACTTGTTACATTATTTTCTATTCCAGACCACTAGAATAAAATATACTCGTACCGACCTCCACAATTGGTAGTATATTATTCGGAAATTGAAAATTATCAAAGATTGTGTAAAAATAAGAACATTGATAAATTCAAAAATCTGATTAACGGATCGTTTTACACGTTCCACGAATGGAACCACTTGATTAAGCGAAACTAATTCTTGGTGGAGCTGAATACAACCGATCGGAGTCTATTTGTATGGTAACAGAATTATACTTACCAAATAATGTTCCGAAAAGTAAAATTACCTTGAAATTCATTAAAAAATACACTGTATACGCTAGTAAATTGAATTATGAACGTTAAAAATCCACACATTTTGACACCAATATCTAACTGCTGGATAAACTATATAATAGGCGTTTTACATGCGGTAGGTACTATCAACACGGTTATGTATGACAAAGTTGATTTTAATTCTATAGTTTGTGTATATGTATACGTATGTATACCCATCTGAACGTACTTAATGTAATTCAGTGTATAGTATATCTAATTTAATTTGTCTTCCGTTACGGGAAATTCTTCATGTGGTACAAACTTTCATTCGAAACTGATACATAAATTCTTTGCGCAGGGATAAAAATATCGACATACTGTCGAGTGAACTTACTTAACCCGAGGTAATATGTGACCATTAACCGCAATAGGAGACTCATAAAGTATAATATACTTATTAAATTTCCCGTTAAGGCAAAGACGAATAATAAAATAATTATCATTATTACATCGAATTCTAACTGCGATACTGTGTATAATTACCGAAGATTTTTTTTTATCTCTATTAATCTTAGATTATTACACAATTTCAGTTTCTGCGCAAGAATCAAACTACACTTGATACTTAAGTTTCTCTCAAGAGTTGGCCGAGAAAAAAATTGGCACTTAATTAATAAACTATTAAACAGAAATTAAATGCATTGTTATTAATATAATATTTTAAAAACTATTTAACAATAAACAACACAGTTGCAATTAATTAATCAAGTCAATATTTCAAAGGTAAGATTAATTGATAAAAATATAGTATGTATAATTAATATTTGAATTAGTTTCTTATTGATGATATCAGTTCGTATATAATACCGAGTCTGGAAACACTAAATTACTAATTCTACCCTAATAGAAATGTAGACACCAATTTTATGGGGTATTGATGTATTGCTATCAAAATAGCTAATGATTTAATTTATGGATTTGAATTTGTAAAATGATTCTGAATATAGTTCGGTGATTTATGTCTCAAGTATTGAAATATTTAAAATTTTTTAGGTTTGATCAGAGTAAAAAACTACCATTATTCGGAAAAACAATCTGATTTTTCCTATACAATTTTGATTAAAGTCTAGATTAGGTAGTTAAGGTACAATAAAATTTATAAACTACGATAATATGTAATTGCCGTCGTTATAAATTTCATTGTGAGTACGTCAAATAGATGTACATATGAATATACTTTATACATATGAACATACGTATAGCCGCGTTAAAGCAAATTCGAATTATAGAAGTTCTGGAAAAAAAATTCGAATTGTAGAATGAGTCCCACCAACAGATATTTCGAATTATCAAGGGGACTGGAATATATGTATTTTCTTCTAATTATAGAGGTTTTCTCAAGGGACTAAGCGCTTAGTTCGATTTATGGAGTTTTTCGAATTATCGACTGACTACTGTATAACATATAATAATTCCACATTTCTTAAATAGAATTATAAACGGAAATATAATATTACTACTTAGTGTTTTTATTTTTATTTTTTTTTACATAGTTTTTAGTAATACTATTATAGCTCAAAAACTACTTACTAACTAAAAATAATTAGTACTAACAAAAACTACTCAGTAGTTATCTTTGCGTTTATGAAAATATACTAGTAAATTAAAAAAAAAATTATTTAAAGTTTTTTGAGTTAAACTTCAGATTTAAAGAAATACTGAATTTTTATTTCCAATAAAATTACGAACCTAAGACAAATAGTAGTAAGAAAATCAATAAGTAACTAGTTCTATAACTGGTACCTATATAATTTGGTTAATGTATTTTTATTAGCCAAAAAAATACATTTTCAAATAATAGTAAATTAATATTTTAGAAGGGATGAAAAGTGTGAAAAATAATGATTTTCTAACATATTATAATATTTTTATTTGTTGTTTTAGTCATATTTTCTCTATCTAAAATATTTTTAAGAAAGTTAATAAGGTTTTTAATGTACCTAAAAATATTAGTTGAGTATTTCACGGTATTTAACAAAAAATTAGCTATTTCAATGAAATTATATCTTATGAAAAATTAATTTAATTATAACAATAAATATCTTCAATAAATAAAACTATAAAAATTATTATAAAGTTAAAAAATATTTTATAACTTTTTCTTCTTCTCCTTTGCTTTTCTTCCAAATATTTAGGGTCAGGCATCCTTGTCCTAAACTTCCACACATCTAGATTTTTACATCCTTAACGCGCACACCAACATCCCTCATATCAATCTTAATCGTATCCAACCATCTCTTTTTTTTTAAAAAAAAAAAAAGAATGTCATAAATATATATATTTAAAAAAGAATAAATTATAATTTAAATAAAATTAATTGAAATATATTTTTTTTTATCTTTAATCTTTCAGTTATTTATCTATAATTCAAAAAAATTGAAACATGTATGAAAATCTTCTTACGCCTGCGTTACGATGATATTAACCAGTCTTCGCCCATAGTCTAATAAATTGGATTGTAGTAATATATAGTTTCTTTTAATAATCTATATAATCCGGCTCACAGCATGTGGGGATAGTATGACCTGGTTAAGTGAAAAGCGTACACATGAGGTTTCATTACAAATGTTTTTATTTATAGAAATAAATAATAACATATTAATCATCTTTGTGCACTTGGTAGTTCACCAACCTTTATTAATTTTAGTTTATACTCTATATGTACTTGTTTCCTGTATCAAAAAGTACTTTTTGTTTGCCAAGTAATAATTTATAAATATACATTTTAGTAGTTATAGTTATCAAAATAAAAACTCTTAAAATCATTGTTGATTAAGAAAAAAATATACCTCACTTCATAATTATAACTGCCTGTAGAATTTTCATTAATAACAACTATGAGTGTATTAAAAATAAAATAAAAGCTGATGCTTGACAAAAAGGTTTTTATTCTCACGATATAAATTATTCTTTAGATCAGACTTTGTTTCATGGGCAAGTTTTTCATTGCTAGGATAAAAAGTGTTTTCAAGAAAATATAATACAGTTCGATATTGATGTCATCGAATTAAAATAATTTTGACCACTTATACATAGATTCTGACTAGATATCTGATAAATTATTATTTCAATGTAGATAATGGAAAAAAGTATCCTAATAAAATTACAATTAGAAAATTAGTTTTACCTTGAGAGTTAAACATTGATTATTTTTTGTAGCTTATTATTATTATTATATTCATATAAACTACATATTTATATGCTTTCATATATACTACAGAGTATAGTAGCTAGTTTTTAAACTCTCTTCCGGTAGGTCAAAAACACTATAGTGTGTTTGTTTCAAACTCTATTGAAAATAATATCCATTATTGTAAATCGTCATATTGATTCTGTGAAGCCACCATAAAAATAGTTGTATAACACAAATTATCATGTTTTTGTGATATTCTAGAAAAAAATTTGTATTTTAAATTTAATTTTGTATATTATTTATATTATGGTTTAATTTAATATAGATGAAAAATAAAATAGTCTGACATCAATTTATCTAAACCTATTAACTATCGAGACAAAAGTTGAAAAATTATATGTTCAAAATTACTAGTCACTATTCAAATCCCGTTTTGGAAAAAAATTTTGTTTCAAAGCATGAAAAAGAGAATACTACCAGAAAGGTTATATTAAAATA